AAGTAACTGTGTTGGCAGGGTCCCTCCCTCCTTTTTTCCACACTTCAACACACAACCTCTCTCATTTCCTTTTCCTTTTCTCTGCTCTCCAAAGAAGAGTGGATAGGAGCATAGATAAAGAGTTGGAAGGGATCTGAGAAACCATCTCATTCAACCCCCTCATTTAATGAAGAGGAAACCAAAGCCCAGAGGGTTGAGGTCACTTGATGAAGATCATACAGTTAGTGATTGGCCAAGCAGCAATTTGAACCTCTATCTGGATGATAGTAAATTTGTTTTGGCAGGGAATAAAGTATTACTCATTAAATTCATATGATGAATATTTACTGAGCATGTCTCATATCCAACACACCATGCTAGGCACTGAGGGAGATAATCTCTTCCTGAAAGCTCATCCTCCTAATCAGCTTTTTGTCTTATAGAGTCCACTCCTATTCAGTACATCTATCTCAAACTCACATTAATAGAAACATGTCTCTCCTAGGAGGTAATCAGATCCCTTGCAACTTTCTCATTAGAAAGCTATTACTTCTTCCAATCCCCTGACTCTCACAAAGCCAATCAGAGGGATAGGAAAATTCCATTTTCCAACTAATGTTTTTCAATCATATCTCTTTCACCATCCCTCAACGACATCTTCTCACTTGAGGTCCATGGAATCCCTCTTTCCATCCTGCTACTTCCATCTATGGGCATATACAGAAGGTGCGAGCACAGGCATATAACTGCAAAATTTTAGCACTGTCTCATAAGAATTTTTTACCAACATTAAAGCTCAGAATGGGCTGAAGGTGCACCCCCTCCCCCCAAAAAAAGATAAAATATTTGCTTGTGGTGGATAGGATGATGATGACCTGATTACTGTGGCTAAAAGGAAAAGATAGATTAGTTTTTCCAGAGGACACTTCAGCCAGCAGTAGAAAAGTCATTTGCAAGGGAGTACAAGCCTTAGAACGCTCTGTAGAAAGGGGGAGGGGCAGAAAGAGATTTCTCACTCCCCTGATTCAGACATGATAAACAAACAAGGTTTTCAAACCTCAGATTTATAAAGAGATGCCAGTCTTATCTTTCCTGGTTTTAGGACTGACGCTTGTAGGATATTGAGAGGAAAAATAAAGGATCTTCATGTTCTATACATAATAATTTTGGATCCTTCCCTGCCCCTAGGATGCTCACCATCCCCTCTTTCTATTGGCAATTTCTTCTCTCCTGGCTTTTGGTTTTCCCCTACTGCTTGCAGGGGGCAGAAGGAGATTTCTCTTTCCCCTAATTCAGTCATGATACCCAGCAGCATCTCAAAGAGAGATGCCTTATCCAGTAGTGAGTTCAAGGCTTTGTTGGTTCAAGAAATTTTGAGGCACAATTAAGGGAAAAGAGATACATAGTCCAGACAGACCTGGATACAGTTTCTCAAGGGATAAAATAGATTCAAGGAATGAGACTCCTTGCAGGAGGGAAGGACACCAGGTACAGGCTTACAACTAGCACTAGCAATAGAGATTAGAGGTGGGGAAAGAAGCAGGTTCCGGGAATTCAGATGAACAACTTGAGCATCAGAGATACTACAGCCAATAGGAGCCAAGGAGAACTTTTGGGTTCTATGGAATGAGAAAAATTTTAGGCCTCACAGCACCAAATATTGTGAATTGCCTTTGCCACACAAGTATCCTATATGGGTACCTCATTACCACTGTACAGTAAGTTTGATCCCACTCTACCCATGAATACTGTGTGTATTTGTGAGAGAGTGAGCCTAAATTTATGGAGGTAATGTTTTATAGTTACTATTCTTACCCTAACATATTAATAAATGCCTTTGCTAAGAGTTAGCTGTGCCTATTTACCAATTCTTTAGATGAGGCATATTAGTAGCGGCCCATGAGCTATAGTGTTAGGTCTGAAGGTGGACCTCTAAAACTTAACAGCTATCTTCTCAGGACCCAACATGAGTTCAAGGTAGGGAAGTATCTGGGCACGTGTGGCAGGGTGAACTACATATGCTAAATAATCTCCAATATTCTTCCAATGCTGTTTGATCATCCTTCTACTCTCCCCTTGGTATATCCATACATCATTCCCCACAGTTTGTTCAAATCCTTTTCTAATCTTCCTTCAACCCCACCCACATAATTAATACTTATAGCAGATGACTAAGCTTCCTACTTCACTAAGAATACTGAGACTATACCCTTCAGCCTTCCCTTTTCACTTTTCAAATGTCTCAGCATCGTCATCCACTCTCTCCTACTTCCCTCTGACTACCTTTGCCGGTTCTTTATTCTCCCTCTGATTCCCTAGTGTAAGCCTTCTTCATCCATTTTCATTTCTTATTCACTTCATGGAGACTCCAACTACCATCTCTAAATGGATCATACCCAAATCTCCCTTGCACAGAACACTAGCTCCTTGAAAGCAAAAACTTTTTTTGTTTTTTGTCTTTTTATGCTCAGTGGTTATCAAAGTGCTTGGCATGTGGTAGGAGCTAATAAATTCTTGTTGAATTAAATTCAAATCCTTTCAGGATTAAATTCTTCTAAGCTCTAGACCCATATTTCCAACTATTGCTATAGAGAGGGGTAGAGAAATGGGTTATAGATACAATATTGGATACTCCCTACATTTATGGAGCTAGAGGTCAAGAAGGAGTCTTAGAAGCAATGGTAAAAGTGGTAGGGGGAAAACAAAAATCCAGGAGAGAAGAAATTACCAATAAAAAGAGGGTGTAGTGAGCAATGTAAGGGCAGGGAAGGATAAAAAAATGATAATATATAGAACATGAACATCCTATAATTTTCCTCTTGATATCCTAAAGTGTCAATACGAAAATCAGGAAAGGTGAGACTGGCATTTCCTTATAAATTTGAGGTTTGAAAAACTTGTCTGTTTGTTTCTCTCCCTCTCTCTACTGATGCATCATTCTCCTCCATTAAGGTGAGTGTCAAAGTTGGGTTTCTAAGCTCAGTACATAAAATTTTTTTCTCATGTAGAAACCTTATTTTGACCTATTAGCTTGATAGCCTCACCTAGTGTTCTTACCAGCACCCCAGAATCTGTTCTCATGGTTTCAATTGTTATTTATATAGTGATGATTCTTAGATTTAATTGTATTGTCCTAATCTCTCTCTTTCTGTCTTTCTCTCTCCCTTTCTCTCCCTCTGTCTCTCTGTTCCTCTATCTTTGTCTCTCTGTCTCTGTGTGTATGTGTCTCTATGTCTCTGTCTCTCTCTGTGTCTCTGTCTCCATCTCTCTCTATCTTTTTGTCTCTGTCTCTCTGTCTCTGTCTCTGTCCCTCTCTCTCTCTCCCTTAACCTCCAGACTCATCTCTGCAACTGCCTATCAAGGCATCTCAAACTCCATGTCCTTTAGACATCCAACTCAACATGTCCAAAATTGAACTCATTATCTTCCCCCCCCAACATACACAAATCTCAAAGTTCCCCTCTTCCCAATCCTGAACTTCTTTATCACTGTTAAGGACATGACAGTCCTCTCATGCACCCAGGCTCACAAGCTCGGTGTCAGCCTTGATTCTTCACTACGTCTCACTCTCCATAGCCATACTAGCTGGGCAACTGTGGCAAATCCACTTAAATTCTCTTTGCTCAAGTTTCTTGAATTGTAAAATGGGGATTACATTAGAACATACCTTTTTAGTTTTTTGTTTGGCTAAAATTGGATAATATTTATAAAGCACGTAGCACAGAGCTTGGCATATAGTATGCACTTAATACTTGTTCCCTTTCTTCATTCCTAAATGTTGGCCAAGCAGTTTCATTTTCAGTAATGCAAACTTGACCTATATTTGACAAACTTTAAAATTTTAAGTAATCTAAAATTATCTGAAACTGGCTCTACCTTCTACATTGATTTCTGGAGACGTTAATAAATGATACGTTACAAATACAGAACAGAATCAGCATCCAGGGAGCTTGTAAAGTGCTTGTTAACTTAAATTTCTCTCTGTGGTTTTTTTTTTTAATTTCTCTTTTAAAAGCTATCATCATCATCATCATCATCATCATCATCAAGCATTCATGTTTTTTCCCTCCCACCTCCTTCTATCCTCCAATAAGAAAGAAAAGAAGGAAGGAAAGAAGGAGGAAACAGAAACAAAGGAGAGAGAAGGAAAGAGGGATGGAAAGAAAGGAGGAAAGAAGGAAGGAAAGAATGAAGGAAGGGAAATGGAACTCTGTCATGAAATGGGCAATGTTCTTTATAAATCCTCTGGAATCATGGTTGATCATTTAGTTGATAAAAGTTATTACAAAGTTTTCAAATAAAATTTAACAATCAAGATAACTTTTCATAGACTCAAAAACCAGTAAGTATAAATTTATAATAGACCATTTAGAAGTTAATATTTTAGATTTTGGTGTTAGTTCAGATATTGGGGGGGATGCATTCCATTTAGAGTTTGAGTGCTGGTATGGCTTATGAAATTGTAGTCAAAGTTGGAAAATATGATGGTTCTTTTCACTGATATGGGAATCAGAAGTAAACTGTAGAGGGCAATGATCCCAAACAGATGAAGTAACAGATGAAGTAGCCAAGGAAACAAGTGTTGCCCACTACGATTAAAATCTACCCACTGAAAAACAAGGCAGAATGTATCAACTCTTAAAGGGAATTCAAACACCCCACTAATCCTAATATTGAAATAAATTCAATAATTTTAGCCTCGCATTTAGTAGTTGAGCTATATTAAAAACTCTATATTAAGATGGATCTACTTAACGTCATTGGAGATATTGGCTCTCACTTCACCACAGGAGCACAAAATAATGCAATATAATTTTCCATAAATGAGCCTTCATGTTTTCAAATCAATATTAGCAGCAGCCTTCTGTAGGTACAACCCAAACACAGGAAACACCTGGCAGAACATTTTGAGGTTATATAGAGAAGTGAAAGCATAATAAAATCACTGAAAAGAAAATTAGGTTTAAGGTTTATCATTCATTATACCTCTCCCACTCAAAACAAACAAACCCAGCTCTTACCTAAAGCTTTCATACACCTGACTGTCTTGCTCCAAAGAGGTGGTTGGGTTCTAACACACTTGCTGTCTGTAGCAAATTCAATTTCAATGTTGTCACCAATTATTTCATCTTTCAAAAGAATGAATATGTCACCAGGATCCTACAACATATAAAAAAAAGTTATATCCCAATCAACCTTTGGCCAGATTTCACACTGAACAACCACAGTAAGTATTAGTTAAAATGGTTATTGACAATGATTAGAAAAGCTCTTTCAATGAGTTCTCTTTGTTATCTTATCTGGAGCATTTCAAGATGGCTACACTATAATGGGCCATATCTACAATCCTCAGGGCTGTGAGATCAAGAGAAGTAAGGCTATGTGAAAATATAACAAGCTGTAAAGCTCTGCACAAACAAAAGTTATCATTAAAGATATGAATTCTCCTCAAGTCTTAATAATCATGTGGATTAAGTAGTTGTATCCCTATATAATTAACATTTTAAGTTATTAACTTAATAAACATTAATAAAGAAAAATAATCAAACATATACAATAAGGAGAAATCCTACATAAATCCTTGGCATTTCATAAAATGAAAAAAGGATAAACAAATAAATAAACAGAAAATATCTTTAATCTAACTTTTAAAGTCTGGGGTGCTTTTACTTTTGGTGTTGTTATAGGGGTGTATATATATATATATATGTATACATACATTTGTATGTGTGTATGTGCATGTATATGTATGGCTGTGTTACATGTTTATGCACATGTGTATACATGTGTGGTATATACCTACAGGTATGGGCATACATACACACATATATGTATAAAATGTTTGTGCATATGTGTAAGTATATGTATGTATATGTGTGTGTGTATGTATACACAGCCAGTACCTATCCGAGAAGACTTCAACTCAAGTCTTCCTGACTCTGAAATTAGTTCAGGGGCAGCTGGTGATGCAGTAGATAGAGCTCCAGCCCTGGATTCAGGAGGATCTGAGTTCAAATCTGGCCTCAGACACATAACACTTACTAGCTGTGTGACCCTGGGCAAGTCACTTAACCTCATTGCCTAACTCCAACCCCCCCCCGAAACAAACAAAAAACAAACTCTGAAGTTGTTTCTCTATCCACTATATTAAGCTATTTTTTAGTCTGTTGTCCTTCTTTTCTATTTAATTTTTTATTAATCTATTTCAGCACAATATAGTGTTGAGAAGTAAAATAATTACATTTATTAGGAAAGTTTTTTTAAATAAAGTAGGAATTTAATAAAATTATATTTGCTTTTATTTATAGCCTCTCATGAATGAAGAGTATGGTCCTTTCTCTTCCTTTCTTTCCTTCCTCTTTCTCTTCCTTCCTCTTTCTTTGATCTTGTGACTTTCTCTTTTACTTTTATACTGTCCCAGCCCATTCAGATGACTCAGAAAAGTTGATGGTTAACAAACTTCCCTTATCTCTCACCTTTTGCTCCCATGCTCCTTCCATCTTCTCCCACTCACAGAGACCTGACTCCACCCAAACCTATTGCATACCTAGCCATTCTCTTTAATATTGGATGCATTCCTTACACTTAGACCAGGACATGGAGTAGGCAGACATGGGTTACTCTTCACTCTCCCTTCCAGACCTTCCCTCTACTGTCATCACTCAACAACATCTTTTCCATTCCAGTTCAGTTTGTGCAGATTTATCATCCTATCCAGACCCTGCTGGCAATTATCTGGAGCCCTTCATTCTCCTTTCTTCCTCATTGAATCCCATTCCTGGCTTATAGTCTTGGTCATCACTCTAACTACTGCCCTTATGCTAGGGGACTTCAATATACTTCTAGGTCCTCCCTCAAACACCTCCACCTCCCAGTTCATCAATTTCCTAACTAATCACTCCACCTCAGCCCCACAAAGCCATAATCTCATCATCATCATTGACAAGTATTCCAGTTTTGATGATCCGAAATTTTTTATTCCACCACAACCTTTTATCCTTCTATCCCTCCTTCTGTCCCACTCCTCATAAGCCTATTATCCCTCCTCATATTATATATATATATATATATATATACACACACACACATATACACATACACACACACACATATACACACACATATATATATATATATATACATATACACACATATATATATCTTGTCCTTTCATCACTCAGTACCCTCCTACATTATTACCCTTGCTCTGGCTTCACATTCCTCCTTTCTCAGTTCTTACTCTATAGTTAAACACTTCAACTATTCACTTGAATGATTTTTTCATTTTTAATCCCTTGCCTACTTGTCCTATTGATATTCATACCTTACCAAACCTCAATCCTGTACTACTCCAATCATCTGTCGCCTTTTCTCCTACTCGTGTGTTGCCAAACTGTGCTGAATGCAATCATATGAGCATGTTCACTGGATCCATTAATTTTCTTTAATTTTTTTTAACATTAATTGGGCATTCAATGCATCAAGGTAATATTTTCATTCTCCCCTAAATGAATCTATAGAGAATAAAGTAGAATCTATAGAATAGAGAAGACCACACTTTACACTTCACTGAGAAAATAGAGGAAATTTGCTGAAGGGTCACTCTTTTCCTCCCATTCTATATATAAAATCTCATTGTTATTATCCATTACTTTTCCCTCCTTTACTTCAGTCTCTACTCAAGAGGTGGTACTTCTTACCAAGGTCAATCCCTTTTCTTGTACTTTTGATTCCATGCTCTTCCATTTCTCAAGGCGATTTCCCCCATGACCACCCTGTCTTGGTTTGCGTGTCTCTGTGTGTGTGTGTCTTTCTATTTCTATATGGCTCTCTCTCTGTCTCTCTCTGTCTCTGGCTCTCTCTATCTCTGGCTCTCTCTATCTCTCTGTCTCTGTCTCTCTGCTTATCTTTCTCTCTCTGTCTCTGTCTCTGTCTGTCTCTCTCTCTTTGTTTATTTTCTCAGTAAAGTATGAAGTGAGGTCTTCTGATAGAATCAGTGCTGACCAAACTGTTTGACTGAATATTCTCGTTGTTGTTGTTGTTGTTGTTGTTTTAACACTACTCTCTCCTGGTTTTCCTCCTAACTATTTGGATGCTCATCTGCACTCTCCTTATCTATCGCCTACAGTGATTGTGTCTTAGGGCTTTGCCCTGAGCTCTAGTCTCTTTCCTATATAATTTCCTTTTCTGTTGGTAATCCCATTAATTCCCATGGCTTCATTTCTAGATGCAGATGATGTTTAGATCTATCTATCTATCTATCTATCTATCTATCTATCTATCTATCTATCTATCTATCTATCTATCTATCT